ATGTCAGGCCTAGCCCAAGGAACTCCTTCAATCAGCAAGGTTTATTAGCTAGTGCTTGTTTACAGAATCTTCTCAGACTGACCAGCAGATCCCAGGAACAGGAATTCACTATCTCCTGGAATGTTAGGGGTGCGTCAGCTTTCTTATCTCCAGTGTGTTGCTCTGGAGACGAGATCATGTTCTTTACCCCCCTTCCAGTCCCATGCCATTCCATCACAGAAACCATACTACCAAAATATGTTGTTTTCCATTAAATTTGGTCAGTAGAAACTTTACAATACAAAAATAATAAAATATTAATAGTACAGAGGCTAAGCAACAGAAGAAAATGCCTCTGAAGCTGTCCTTTTACACTGTTTTATACAGTAACATAAAATGTCTATTCAAACAAAAAAAAATATGGAACTCTTTTGGGGACAGAAATATTGAATATGGATCTTTTGCACATTTTATCTATTCTTAACATTCCAGTTGTACCTATAAATATTCTGAAAAAAAAATTCTAAAAACAATAACAACAACAAAAGCCCTTGTTATTTCTTTAATTATTCATCCTAACCAGTCCTTCAGGAATGTATCTGATTTCCTTCGGAAGACATTCTAACTAGTGATGATCATTAAGTCTTGTGATAAGGACCTCCATGGATCAATTATGAGCTCAGAGAAGAAATGCTTTTCCTTTAGGTCTGTCTTCATTCTTCTTCCTGGCATTTACATTGGACAACCTCTGGTCATAATGTTGTATTGCTTCCCTGGGTCTGACATTCTATCATCTACTCAAGATAACTCTTCTATATTGTTCTGCAAAATACCTTCCATGGTTCTTCATTTAATCGACCTTGTCTTATCCATTTCACCTTTGCTCTTTGTTTTGACTGGGATGAAATCATTGCATGCAAAGCATATGCCATAATGTAAACTGCATTGTAGATGCTATAACTGTGGCCAGACATGCTTGTGTCAAACAAAGTCCCAGGTAGAGCCTCCAACTTTTCATCCCCAGAGCAGATATTGTCAGCCTCTTTGTCTAGAGTGGAATCTGAGAAATCACAATTAAATGCATCTTTCCAGAAGACTCTGATAAAGCCATCTCTATTTTCTGAGAGAGGGTTTCTTTCCTTCAGAAATTTCAAGAATCCTCTAGGATAATTTGTATGGCTAGCAAATGATAGAGCCCCATGGAGGAAATGTATGTCCCAATCTCTTTGAAACCCAGGAGATGCAAAATCCATCTGGGCAATCATAATCCACACTCGGCTCTCAGCTGTTATATCATAAAATTGTGCAAAGTGGAAAATTAATCTTAAGATACTGATAGTATGTATTTCACCTTGTATAATAACAGTATTGGCAGTACTTCCTGTGACAAGATGTGAAGTTCCAAACCATTCCATTGCTGTTTCAACAATGTCACTTGAAAAAGACATTTTGGGCATTGTTTCTAAGAACTCCACACAAATACCCTGTAAAGAAAATATGGGAAGTATATCCTGTTTAAAAATCTCCCCATTGTCATCATCAAAAGCAACCACACCAATCCAGGTCCACTTGAAGTGCAGCAGCAACTCAAGAATCCCCATATACTGATGGGTCCCATTTGGAAACATCTGGTGGAAGAAATCTTCTTTGGTTTTGTCATTTATTATTGGAGATGAGCCATATAAGATCTTAAGAAAGAATAGATAGAAGGAGATGAGACATCATGGTGATAAATTGTATGGTGTACTCATTTGAAAGATACTGGTTGTTTTGCTATATAAATTTGCCATGCAAAAATTATTGCTGATTCACTGTATACATTTTTAAAAATCCCACCTTTGAATGCATGGATTGTACTGGACTGAATCCAAAATGGAACCAAGATAATACAAAACCATATGCAATCTATACAGTCTTCTGAGATGCTGGTGGGGAAGCTAAGGATCAATATTATTCTTTTAATTCAGCAGCAGATCTTATCCCAGCCTTGGTTCTTCTTAAAATGATCATCCTGCATATAACATGAACATTTCTGGTGGTGCTGACTTCTCTCAGTTGCTGAGATGTTACTCCAATATCTGGGCTGCCAAGATCCAGATAACCATTTGATGGCAGCAAAAGATTATGGTTTTCTGTGTTTGTTTTTCTGTATTTTTGTTACTACCTACTGCTTATCTGGATTATGCAGCTCAGATATGGTAAAACTATCTTAGAATTTAAGGTGAGGCAGTTGTGAAGGAAGAAGCAGGATAATAAATTTGATAGTATGCTCACTTGAAAGATAGTCTCCTGGAAATGTTTTGGTTTCCCTCCCTGTTTACATTTCTTGTTGCAGTTTTATATATTTCTTATATAATGGGGAGTAAAAGAAAATGTGCCTTCTGGAGAAACTATTTTTGAATACTACTATGTCAAGAAATACTAAGATTTGTAAAGTCCCTCAAGGAAGGCTCTTAAGCAAATGTATTCCTGGGGTAAGAGGATGGGTTTAGGCATGGATAGTTCAATAGAGAATGAACTCATGATAAATGCATCATGGCCTAATGGCTAATGTATAAAGTATTATTATTAATAAAGTGATCACCCTTCACATATAGATTAAACAACCACTCTGCCAGTTCTTCAGGAAAAAGCCATATAGCTAAATAAGGAGATTGTCCATTTTCTAACATCCATGCCCAAGCCATACTTAAAATTTTAAATCTTGTTCTTCCTCACTGTCATTCCATGCGTACAACTTACCTGTGGAATTTTGTAGGTGCTGAGGATGTTTGTCATGTGGAGACAGACTTCAGAATTAGGTCCCCCAATGACTCCCACGATGCCACTGTGACGATCACATTTGTAATTAGGGATGAATTTGTCCTGCGTGGAGAGAAGTTCCAGAGAGGCAAGATAGGTCCACCTTGCGAAAAAATAGCTGTTTAAGATGTGGAAGCCCAAACTGACATTGGGTAAGAGTTGGGGATTCTCACTGATTTCCTTCACAGCAAATTCCAAGGCCAGGATGTGCTGGTAATTCTGAGTAAACATCCTATAGGAAAAGAAATTGTTTCAGTTAGGTCAATTTTCTAAATGAAAATGCTCATTTCATCTAGACATAGTGCTATGAAAAATCAATCCATGGAAAACAAGGCACTTCATGTCACCTCCATGGAACAATTAGGAAAATATTTTCCCATACAAAATGAGATTTGAATATTATTACATAATAATGTCACTCTCACTGATACACATGCTCACTTTCACAAACCAATTTGTAACATGCTATATTTTCTTTAGAGATATTATAGTGGTACCTACTAAACATGAAAGCATTATGAGTTAAAGAGCATTAACCTCTTTCATTTTTGCAAACTTTGAACAATATAACCAAAGCAGTCAAACTGGTTCTGTCTTTACTGTAGAGAATGTCTATAATTTAGGGCAGAATGACCTTCTTCCCGTTCCAAGAGACACATTCCATTAGGATGTATTTTACTGTCTTACCTTTCATGGTCCAATTGTTTCTTTCATAATATTTTGTTTTGTTTTTGGTGCCTTTGAGTCAGTGTTGACTCCTGGCAACTGCTTTTTCTTGGCAAGGTTTTTTGGAAATGCTTTGCTATTGCCCCCTTCCTAGGGCTGAGAGAGAGAGTGACTGGCCCAAGGTCACACAGCTGGCTTCGTGCCTAAGGCAGGACTATAATTCCCAGTCTGGTTTCTAGCCTGGTGCTTTAACCACTACACCAGGCTGGCTCCTTTCTCATAATCTACATTCTGTGTATTTTTTTCATGCTTCAATTGGATTTAGTGAGATATAGAGTTACTATTGTCATTATGGGGACTAGACTTCCTATCAAATTTTACAATTTCACCCTCATTCCTCCTATTTCTCTTTTGCCCTCTCCCTAGCATACATTCATCTATCACTGAGCTTGTGAAGTAAATGAAAAGCAGCTAAGACTACTTTTGTACTGTGCTGCTCTAAAAAACAGCTGAAGCGTTATCCCCCATCCCTCATGAAAAATAAGGTAGAAGAGACAGAAGGCATTGCCTAAAAGGCTGAAAAGATTTCTCATTGCATTCTGTTGCCTTTTCACCTCCAAGTTGCAGCTGTAAGCGAGAAGCCTACAATATCCTGGGAATTTCAGCTGCATTTTATGTGTTAAGCCTAGACTACTTACACAAGGTCATCAAAGCGCTCCTCAGAAGGCTGCTTCTGAAAGCTGATTGGACTTGAAAAAATGTAGATCTGAGAGAAAATGCCTGCAATGATGGAATCGCCTGGCTGGTAATACTTGTGGAGAATAGAAAGGGGTTGACCAACAGGACACTTAGCAATAGAAACCGTACTTGAGGCATGAGGCAGAGCCCCTACAGCTATCATCAGTGCCACAGGTAGCATCACTTTGTCTGTGAGGGTTCCTGCCTTCTTCCAGCATGTCTGTTCCCTTTCTGACATTTAAATAGTGTTCCTTCCAGTGGCAACACTCAGCCGATCTAAACCCAGACCGGTGCAGCATCTACCACCCAAAATGACAGTAGCATAGCTCTGCCTCAACTCTCAGTGAGACATGAAGTATTAGTATCGTTATGTGTTGATTGATCCTCCTGTCCCGACGGAATGTTCATGGACCAGGAAGAGATAGCATTAATCATGGTTATTTCATAATTGTGGTCAGATGGGGGAATAATGACCAATTTGGCATTCTGAATTCATTAAAAAGTTCAGAGGTCAACATGTTGATGTTTATCATAGCTCAGCTGGTATCTCCCCAATCTTACTTTATGTACTGATGAGAAACACCAACTGTGTAATTTCCCTTATTAAGGTAAATTGAGAAAAGAAACAATCAGTATTAGGCAAGCGGTGACCAGTTCAGTCATCACTGCAGAAATATTTCCTTACTTAAACAGAGAAACAGAATAACCAAGGTCAGAAAAGCAGTGGGATGCAAGTGACCTTCAACCTGCTGCCAGCTTCTCCATTGACTTTGCTTGTGGGAAGCTGGCAAGGAGGACCAGAAA